TCAATTGGGAGCACGGTGACTCTGTAGGATAGCACTGGACTGTGAACCACAAAGCTGGCGGTTCGAACCCACCAGCTGCTCCATGGGAGAACGATGAAGCTTACCGCTCTGGCAAAGATTTACAGTGCTCAGAAGTCTTATACAGGGTCACTGGGAGATGACACTTAACAACAACAACAAAAGAAAGTTCAATTCAGACAGAAATGACAATGTAGAGTCAGTTTAAATACTTGGTTTCCCTGAAAAATAACTGTGCACACAGTTCTTTTAAAAATCAACTTTACCTGTCTCTGTTTAGCTATCTATCAATATTTCTAGGTATATGGGTTTATTTCTATCATATGCATATATTAACTTTTTCTACATACTATTGCTTCTTTAATCTTTAGAATCAGATTTTTTATATTATTCAAAATTTTCATCTTTTCTTTTCCATGTTCTACTTAATTTTAGAGTTGAAAATGGACAGGTTTTCTGGAAGACTGTTGTTGTTGTGTGCCATTGAGTCGGCTCCGACCCATAGCGACCCTGTATAGGGTTTCCGAGGGTGTAAATCTTTACGGGAGTAGAAAGCCTCATCTTTCTCCTGTGGAGCAGCTGGTAGTTTCGAACCGCTGACCTTAAGGTTCACAGCCCGATTCGTAACCACTACGCTACCAGAGCTCCTGGTAGACTAATGACGATTATTTATGGATAACCACATAGAAACTTTCACATTTGAGCCACTGTATTGTGTGAAAATACTTTGCTTTTCTGAGTCTCAGTTTTCTAAGGAGGCTAAGTATTTAAGGATGACTGCAAGACGTGGCATTGTGAGATAATGCACTGGACTGCATAGTCGGCTTGAACTGCAAGGTTGGCAGTTCAAACTCACGAGCTGTTGCTCCAAACCAACTCCAGAGCACTTAACAACAACATGTGAGGCCACATAATAAGACTCACCAATATCTACCTCCTTTCTGCTCTGGTACCTACATCTACTGCCACTTGCTCTTTTAGATCACCATTCTCTTGAATTTTAACTACATTTCCATTGAATATACACTGTTTTTGGTACTTGTCTTGCATTTGTAAAAATAAAAAAATAAAAAATCAATTTATTAAAGAAAGAAAAAGTAAAGAGAGCAATCCAAGAATGGCTGCTATCCTGGCTGTGTGGGTAACTCTGGACCAGCTTAGCACAGGCAGTTTCAGCATTCTTCATGGACATTCTTCATGTCATCTCTGGCACATGGAATTTAAATGATTGTTTTCTTTGCTTATCAGTTATCCCCCTTACATAAAATGATTACAGACTTAGGTATTGAGCAAGTGGAAAATCACATAATCTGTGGTTCAGAGTTATTCTTTTGTAAACCCGGTAAAGAAATTCAGAAAATGCTACAGTGTCAAGAACAAGAAGGAAAGATTTTTGGAACTCACCCCAACGTGCCTTGGGAGACAGGCCTGGAGAGCCGCGTGTGAAAGGTCACAGTCTTCAAAGCCTTACAGAGTGGTTCTACTCTGCATCCACAGGGTCATCATGAATTGTAATGAACACAATGGAATCTAACAATAACAACATCAGTTGCATTAAAGCTAGTAAATTGATTGTGTTCCTTTTATACTTACCTCATTTTTGAAGGTCCTTAGAATAAGGCAAATTAACTTTAATGGTTTTAGCCCTTGCACTTCCTATGAATAGAAGAAGCTGGTAAAATTTCAATTTTCTTACAGGACTTATTTTTTCAAATTGATTTGGAACATCCAAGTAAAGTCGTACACTGTTCTTCACCCAATATCCACACTAATTCAGTTTTTTCTTTCCACATCCCAGAGCCATGCTTTATTGTTCACCTTCAAGGATGGAGGAAATCAGCCAGAAATGAAATCTGAAGTTCTGAAGGACCGTATTTTGAGGTATCCCTTTAAAGGGACACATGAAGACACAGACATTTACTGAGAGGCAAACCCATCGCTGGGCTGACAGCTTTGTACCAGAGTCATAGTGCATTTTTTTTCATCAGGCTTGGCTGGGAAATATTAACTTCTCTTTATTCCGTCTTTCCTCTCTGGTTCATCTTCACATGTTAGAGCTTTGGCATGAGAGGTCATTCCAAATAATCAGACAGACAAATTTAAAGTGCATGCATTTCTCATGTTATAAATGTCAGACTTTAGTACAACTCCTGTTGTTGTTGTTGATAAGTGTCTTTGAATCAGAACAACTACTGACAATTTACTGTTATGTAAATTGGCATTCTCTTCAAAATTACTGAACCCACATTGATTCACAAGTTCATCACAATTACCTTCACTTGCTGCTCATGCAACTTTAAAATAATTGAAAAGGCATTGAGCTTTTTTTTTTTTTTTTTTTGCCCTAAAACCCCAAACCAAATGCACTGCCAATGAGTCGATTCTCAGAGCAACCCTATATAGGGTCTCTGAGACTGTAAATGTTTATGGAAGCAGACAACTTCATCTTTCTCTTTCAGAGCTGCTGGTGGGTTTGAACTGCTGACCTTGAGGTTAGCAGTCCAAGGCCTAACCCACGGTACCAGGACTCCTAAAGTAAGGCAAAATAATAACTGTATGCATCTGATCTAACTTGCCTACAAATTCTTAAAGACACAGGAACAGTTCTTGTTTGCATCCTGAGGACTACCTGTATCCCGTTAGTAAAAGTATTCCTGCCCTGACCTTGTCCAGTACCATGATCAGCACTGTCTCTACCTAGAGAGATTCTGAATCCCAGACACATCTCAGACACTTCCTTCCCACCTGGAGGATGCAGAAACAGCGCCCACTAGAAACAAAAGCAAAACGTTTAGAAATAATTTTGTGCTTAACACATTTTTTATTTTTGGTCAAAAAATAGACACATTTTTGCTTTGAATTTAATTTTATATGACAAATCCATTTTAGGTTATTCTAAACAAGATTGATATATTTTCATTTAAAAACATTAACTTTCAATTTTTCACTTAAACGTAACAACCTTAACCTTTACTGATGGCATGATCTCCTCTGCAATTTGACAGTGCAGCAAAATTCTCACTTCATGGTAAGACGCAAAGTTAAAATACTTTGAAGATCCTGAATATACTTTTGAACTTTGAGAAAGGATGGTTGTTATTATTATTAATTTAACTCCCATGCATAAACATAAACTGTGTGTACTCTAGACCTAAAACCATGCTTCTGTTGAGAACCAAGAAGTACCAGCATTGATAACAATGTATTTTCCTCAGGACTCACTCAACAGGCTCCCTCTCCCACAGGGGTCCAATTCCTATCACCTCAGCATGGGCTTTCTTCACCCAAAAACCTTATCTATGGAAGAACATCTTGTCTACTGCTCTTGCGCTACCCTAGCACTTGTCTTCCTGGTAGCATTCCTAATGGGAATTGTTGTTGTTAAGTGCCGTCAAGTCGGTTGCAGCTTATAGTGACCTTTCAAAGCCTCTCATAGTAGAGGGTTTCCAAGGAGCGACTGGTGAGTTTGAACCGCCAACCTTGTGGTTCAAACTGACCTTGTAGTCCTGCAATTATCCTACAGTGCCACTCCAGAAGGCCTTCTAAAGGGAATACTGGGGTCCTAAATATCCTTAGGAGTCTTGGTGTGGTGCTACGGGTTAACCACAATGTCGGTGGTTCAAGATAAGCAACCGGTGGCACTCAATGACAACAAAGTGTCCTTAGGTTTCTAAGCTAAAAAACAAGCATATCATTGCTCTACATTTCATCTGGAAAAACAAATAAAACTTTTGCAAATGGCAAGAAAAAAAAGGAAAATCTGTATTTTATATACAATCAGAGACAATGGAACTGGGCAATGACCTTGCAAAGACTCAACTAAGACATTAATGTTGGCAAGCCGGTGAGGTAGGTGCTCTCTGTGGCTAAAGGGTGAAGATCCTGAGCAAGTAGAAACCACTTGAAGAACTGCATTCCCATCATAGTAGCATGCATAAGATTATATATTCACCAGTGCACCATTGTCACATTCAAGAATTGAATTTCTGTAGCTGTTTAAGCAAGTAGAGGTTACTAATAATTCCTTTCCATATTCATTTTTGACCAGAAAATTATTTCACCAAATATTTTCCTGAGATGTTGCTTGTAATACATAGCCACAAATTCCGTCATACATTACTCTAGTTACAGGCCCCTTCTGCTTATGAAAAAATAGGAAAAAAATGTATGTATTGTATTTCCACAAAGTCTATAGATACTGTTAATATAAGAGTCATTACTATAAGCTATATGCAATCTACACCTTATTTTTTTTTTTAAAGGAGTTATTTTCAAAGACTATTAACACTTACATGATTTGTTACTGAGAAATGTATAAAAAAGGAGTTCAATGTGAAACTCACCAAATATTTCTTACACTATGCTAAAATTTCCTTATTGTTCTATGACATTTCTATGTATTGTAAGAATATACGGAATATAGATGTAGTAAGTTTAATGCATAAGCCCATAGTGCTTAGTTTGAACAAAAGACGCCCTTTTGGTCTCCCAGCACCAAGAAGATGGAAAAAACTGAATTGCAATAACTTCCATTTTTCCAAGCAGCTGAAAATGTTTTACCTTGTGGTTCTTACATCATGTTAATGATAAAAGAAAAGGTGACAGATAAGAACCAGACTCTTGACTCCAAGTGCTTAATCCACTAACACACAATCTACTATTTTCAAGTTTTCCATTGGCACTGCAAAAACAAAAGTTTTCAAATTTTTAGGAAAATATCTTGCTAAATACGACCCTAATTTTTTTTTTTTTTGAAAAACATTGAGACTTACTACAATTGGAGTAGTATTTGAGGCTTAACAGTGACCACAAATCCAGTTTTGGAGTCTGAACTAAAAAACTTAAATCATTATTATGACCAGTTCATAAAAGTAGCCAATAAGTGCCAAATTAGAATAGTACAGTGAGTTTTGATATAATACTCTGTATAGTTTGGTCCAAACAGCTAGACTTGGCCAGCATGCCATTCCAGTTCATTTTGGTCATATCAAACGGGAACAAGGATCTTCTATACAGATCATGTTACGTGACCCTCGTAACTCCGTTGGACCCTGGAGGTTACCAGGTATGGTAGCAATGGGGCAGACTACTCTTTCAGTCACTATAACATTTTGTGTGCAAAGTGGATCAAAGACTGCAGTGGAAGGTTGCACGAAAGAACCAGAAGCTGAATAAGTCTCAGATACCAAATAGTTACCATGTTGCAAAGGATCAGGGATGGAAATGGCTGGTTGGAGGACAGACCCAGAAGCAGACAAAGTAGAAACTCCTTGACCACCTTGCAAAGTCGTGCACCTGACAGTTACTGATTGTTGGCTTTCTACAGAATGGCCATGGGAGTTAATCCCCAAATCACATTTTTCGGTGAGTAGCTGAGATTGTTGGGCTTCATCATCAACACCTAGAGTTATGTCTGCAAGCTTTTTAAATTTGGGGCCCAATGAGTCCAAGAAGCTGTCATCCAGGTCATCGGCAATGAAACTGCAACAGCCCAGGGAGCCCAAAGGAGAATGTGGGGCTTCCGTGCCTTCATTATCATAGATCAACAAACAGTCATTTGCTTCCAGGCCATCGTCTTCCTCTGCACAGGCAAATGCTTTCTAAAGATGGAGAAAAAGTAGAGAAAGGAATTTTTGAAACGTCTCAATTGAAGTAGACAATATTGTCCACAGAGCTCAAGATTTCCCCATAAATACATGAACTCGGTCTCTGGAGCATTATCAATATTCTTGTTACAGAATTTATCTGGTGATTAGACAAGAGTGTGGTTGATATAGAGAGCCCTGGTGGCCTGGGGGTTAAGCGTGTGACTTCTAATTGAAAGATCACCAATTTGAACCTGTCAGTTGCTCTGTGGAAGACAGATGTGACAGTCTGCTCTGTATAGATTGTTGTTATTGTTAAGTGGCATGGAGTCGGTTCTGACTCATAGCCACCCTGTATTGGGTTTCCGAGGCTATAAATCTTTGTGGGAGCAGACAGTTTCGTTTTTCTTCTGTTGAGCTGCTGGAGTGTTTGAACTTCTGACCTAGTGATCCACAGTCCAGTGCTTATCCTTTGGAGATTACAACCTTCAAAATCCCAGGGGGCAGTTCCACTATGTCCCTTATGGATAGTATGAGTTGGAATTGACTCAATATAATTGGTATTCTATTGATTCTAGTACAGACTTATGTTCTGATTCTTGATTTTGAAGACATTTATCTAGTTTTAAGTCTAGATAGAAAATGTGTTTGATGCCTGCAGGTTATTCGCTAGACAAAGTGGATATGTCCAGTGTATGCTTGTGGTTGGGGTGTTTGTGGGAAATAGTTTTGTGCACCATCTGAGATAGCTCTTACCTAGAATAGGACCTCTCCTAGATGCCACATGACACCTCAGAATACCTTGAGAATCCTAACTTCAAATAAGCTCTCCCTGCCAGTTTCTCCTCAAACACTGTGGCAGCCTTCATCAGCTTTGACACCAGGTCAGACAGACCCTGACCCCAGTTACAATTCCAAACCATAAGATCCACACTACTCCTCCTGCAGCTGTCCTTGGTCACCAAACAAACAGCTCCCACAATTTTAACTTCTCCTTTTTCTGTTCTATATTTCCTGATATATCATTCTTTCCATCAGTGACTTTCAAGTCCAACCCTTCTTCCCCCCTTTTATTTATGGGCCATTAATTCAGTGCTCCTTCAACACTTTTGGACATGGATACCTTTGAAAATATGGAGACTGTTATAACCCCATCTCAGAAAAATATTTGCATAAATATCCAAACATCCTTTGTGGCACAGAAAATATAAAATAAACTGTGCTCTGCTTTGCATCGTTTCAGATGATACTGTGGATTCAAAATCCACGCTAGCCTTGTGCTCTAAGCCATATTTCCACTTGCAGGAATGTGGTGCCTCTTGCCATGTTCTTTTACTTTGTGTCTCTGTGTCCATTCTTCTTTTTGAACATGACACAATTTTGGCAGCCACCTGAGGCGTAATATTAACAGTAACAAAATAATATGTAAACAATAATAATATAGGTATTATCTTGGTAGAAAGGAAACTTTTCCTTTACATTTTAACAAGCTAAGAAAATGAACAGCCACACTGAAATACAGCTTAAAAAATAAAAAGATCTCTGTATAAATAAGATAACAGGGTATTGAAGTTTCCCACCAGATTACCTGAGAAAAGTAGGAGTCCAAGAAATTCATGTTTATTGTGCCTTCTGCATGGTCCCTGTTGGTTCCTCCAGTGGAATGCCTTGTTCTCATTGTCCCGGAGTGTCCTGCTGAGCACGTGCCAAAGGCTGCAGTGGCTGCACACACATTTCCTGTAGCAAATCCTCCAGGGACGCCAGACGCCCCAGTTGTTCCAAGCTTTGTGGTCATTTCTATGCCTGAAGCTCCTTCTGCTCCTGTCGCTCCTGCATATGTGTTTGTGCAAACTTCTAAAATCAGGGAAGATTTTAACCCTTAACCATTCATGCTGTTGTTTATTTTTTTTGTTTGTTTTATTTTGACTGGTCTTGGACACCCTTGAGTGGTTGTCAAGTAAATAAGTGGGAGAAAATAGAATTTTGTGTCTTGCAGTGATATGGCACCTGACTCTCTTGTCATGTAAGAGTAACAGAGAAGACTAGAAATTGATTTAAAGAAAAACTCTGATTTAAAGAAAAAAATATACAAAGGAAATAGATTTTCAGAGACAATAGCCAGCCATGGAAAAGTAAAAACAGAATATTCAATAAACAACCACTGAAAGCTGACTTCCATGACAGCTTGATTGTTTTCATGAAAAGAGACATTGTCATTAAGCATGATAGTCATATTGGCTGAACAGGAAAACCAAAGGAGAAATGTACCTAATGTAATCATGCAAAGTAGCAGAGGCTAATTTGGATTCTAGGTACACAATGAAAATTTACTGAACGTGATTATTCTTGCTTTACCTTTACATTACAGTTTTATGCAATGTGATGTTACTGAAGTATTCTGATTATAGTCCTTGTATAATTGTGTGTGATTGTAGTGGGAGAAGCAGCTAAGACATGGGGTCACTGACGAAAACAGGCAGTTAGATATTTAGTGAGAATTTATGGTGACTTTGCAGACTGGACGCTAAAATTCAATCAATTGATTAGTGTAGAGTTAAGTAATATCCTAATATTATGCATCAGTTCTTACTGTCTCTCTGGCTTACACCTTAGTTGTGGCATTGTGATTTTAGTTAAACAAAATAGTCAACATGGTAAAAAAAACAAAGAAGTATGCAGTTTCACCAATTCGTTAACATGGATCATGCTGAGTACAAGACGTAGTAATTGAATATGAATTAGGATAGTGCTACTTCCAGGGAAGGAAGGAAGAGAACAGGATTGAGAATGTTCACGTCTGAGGCTTTAACTACAAATCTGACCACATGGTAGAATAGACAAAGTTGGGTGGCAGGTGCATAGATGTTTGTTGTATTTTCCTATATGTGTGAAACACCACCTTTCTTTCACTTTGTTGTACTCTACTGATTTTCACATTACTTTGATGCTGGAATATATGCTGCCAATTTTTCAAATACCAGCACAGGAGAACATTTCTGATACAGGATTGAAGATGGTGCAGGACTAGGCAGTGTTTTCTTCTGTTACACATAAGATTGCCATGAGTCACAGTGAATTAAAAAAATTAGTAACTGACTTCCTGAAAGCCATACACCAACCAGTTTATTAAAATTTGGAAAATTATAATAACTCTCCAGATATAAAAAATGATGATATTAATAGACAAATTAACTTATTAAAGCCAGACATAATGTCATGGAATTTAATTGTTGTTGTTAAGTGCCATTGAGTTGATTTCAACTCTCAGCAGCCCTGTATAGGGTTTCCAAGGAGCTGCTGGTGAGTTTGAACCATCCACCTTGTAGTTAGCTGTCCAACTTATCTTACTGTACCACACCAGGCTTTGAATAATAGTGATTATTAAATTTATTTCAGCAGTAACCTCTCCTGCCATGTGTACATATATGTAAATTATTGGGGAAAAAATTCAAGCCCTTGTTATGTTTGAATACATATTTAACCCACTATAACTTAAAAAAATGAATTTGATATTTACTTACCAGAATTTTCCATGAATTCTAATCCATTAGCTGCCATAGGTGGCACACAAATATTAGTGATTTCCTGCAAAGCATGTTCAAAAAATAATAATGTTTCAAAGTAAATCAGATTTCATAACAATATAGGTAAAATGTTTTTTGAAAATGGTTAGATTACAAGAAACTCAAATTCTTACAAGCGTGACCATTTTTGTACTTTGACATAGAAGTTGAAAAGCTACAGTTCTAAAAGGCTGCATCCATTGCAGCATTGACTTAATCTGAGTTTCAAGAAGTCTCTTGTTTACACTTCTGTTTCCCCCTTTTCCTATCTCAATACACAGTTGATCATTTTCATTGTGATTGAAATAAATCCTTTGCAAACTGGATACTCACTTTGTCTTCAGGTTGGGCTCCTTCAATTTTCCACTGTTGAATTGTTCCTTCTGAACCATCAGGAACTGGGATGAAGCCACTTGCCATTCCCCCTAGAGGACCCATCCCCCAGTCACATGCCAACAGCAGAAGGGGGATCACTAGCAACAAAACAAAGCAAAACAAAATAAAGTATCAGAACATTTGAATCCCATGGAAACGATTTGACTTGACAGTTATCAGAAGCATTACAGTTTAAATGGTTATGGATAGTTCTTGCAGTAATGAAAATTTAGCTTCTTCAGAATAAAATTTGATGAATTTAGCACATTAGGTGTGCTGTGGGAGAAAGCATTGGATTGCATGGTCAGTTTGAACTGCAAGTTCAGCAGTTCAGGTACACCAGCTGCTTCTTGGAAACCTGATGCAGGGTCCCTATGAGTCAGAACTCACTCAGCGGCACTTAACAACAACATGGAATTGAAGGCAACAGATCAAATCAGTCTTATTTCGTGTATATTATCTTAAGCTAGGCACTGTTTGGTGGTGGTGTGTCTTGGAGTCAGTCCAACTGTACAGGGTTTCCGAGGCTGTAAGTCTTTATGGAAGCAGAAAGCCTCATCTTTCTCCCGCAGAGCGGCTGGTAGTTTCAAACTGCTGACCTTGAGGTTCGCAGGCCAATTCGTAACCACTCTGCTACCAGAGCTCCTTTTAATGAATTATAAATACAGTTGTTTGGTTTCTCAAACTTTATTCTCTATATATTTCTGTTATATTATTGCATTTGTTTGTAGATACTGAGACCATGGATATTGTACCAGGTGAGTGCATAGCTGGACGGCTAAGATTTTTATGTGGATGGGATACTGCTTCAGTAATCTGGTTTCTAATGATGTCTTGTTGCTATTGCTAAGTACCGTTGAATCGGTTTGCCGAGGAGCATCTGGTGACCTTGAACCTCCAACTTTGGGGTTCAAGTCTACTTTGCAGTCCAGCACATTAACACTAGGTCCCCAATGACCTCGTGTTGTTGTTAAGTGCCATCAAGTTGGTTCCAACTCGTAATGACACTGTATAGGGTTTCTGATGCACAGCTGGTGAGTTTGAACTGCCGGACTTGTGGTTCACAGTCCAGTGCTGATCCACTGTGCCACAGTAAACAGTAATTAACCACCAAGAGTTGTAGATTTGTTTGGAAATTTGTTTTTTATTTTATGAAGGATTCGAAGCAGTAACAGAGCTAAATGTTTTGAGTTAATTCTGACCACTGAACTGACTAGAAAACTCTCCATAAAATTCCGTCAGCAATGAGAATGACGACCTGCTAAAAGCTCGTCAATGCACTCTTAATTATGATTTAAGATTCGCTGGTGTGGCGCTGTGGGTTAATGCGCTGGACTGCAAAGGTGGTTTGATCCACAAGGTTGGCAGTTCAAGCTCACCAGCTGCTCCGTGGAAACCCTATACAGAGTCACTATGGGTCAGAACTGACTCAATGGTACACAACAACAACAACAACAGCTTGGAAGGATTTCCTGGCTGAGGAATGGTCATTCCTTTTGTGCATATCAGTCCCATCTTGGCAATAAAAATTAATGCTATGCCATCTGCTAATGAACACAGAGGGGAATGCATTTTCTTGAAAGCAGGTACTTCCCAAGCTCTCTGATTAGTGTCTCTCCTCCCTCCCCTATTTCCCCTGCCCAAGATCAACTGAAGCCTACAGTTTCAACTATCCACTTACAGTTAACTCAGTGTGGGGTTTAAAGCATGGGCTCTGACCTCAGACTTGTAGGATTTAATGAATTAATTCAGGTCAAGAACTGCAGAGATTACTATGTGGAATTGTTAGAATGGGCTATATCTGTTATGCAAATTAAGGCAGTCTTATATATGTTGTTGTTGCTTGGTGCCGTCCCGTCAGTTCTGACCCAGAGCAACTCTGTATAGAGTTTCTAAGAAACAGCTGGTGACCTTGAGCCACGGACCTTGTGGTTCAACTTGACTTTGTAGTCCAGTGCATTAACCCACAGCACCACACCACTATTCTGTCCTATAGGATTGTGAGGAGTCAGAGTCAACTAGATGGCAGTGGGTTCTAGATTTTTGGTTTTATATTTTGAATGAAAAATGTAGGTCACATATATAAAATAAAATAGATTAGACATAATTTAAGGAGCCCTGGTATTGCAGTGGTTAAAGCACTTGGCTGCTAACTAAATGAAACTTTGGTTGTTAAGTGCTCATACCAACTCATACTAACCCTGTATAAGGTTTCAAAGGAGCAGCTGGTGGGTTTGAATCACCAGCCTTGTGGTTTACAACTAACTTTGCGGTTCACAGCCGACTTTGTGGTCCAGCACATTATCCTACAGTGCCACATCAGGACTCCACTAACTACACAAAGGTCAGCAGTTTGACTCCACTAGAAGTCCTAGTAGTCTAAGACGTGTTTGAATCACTAGGTCAGCAATTCAAAGTCACCGACTACTTCATAGAAACCCTATATAGGGTTGCTGTGAGTTAAAACTGACTCAAATGTACTTTACAAAAATAACAAGTCACACTGTGGAAGAAATATGTGGCAGTCAGCTTCTGGAAACATGTTAGTCTTGGACAACCTATGAGACGGTTCTACTCTGATAAGGTTGCTATTAATGGAAATTAACTCAGTTGCAATGGGTTTGGATTTTTTTATAGAACATATTTGATATAGTTTATAGAATGTAATATAATGTTCATATAAATGAGACTTCTTCAGACTGACTGTATTTACTGCCATCCTCGATTCTATGACTTTATTATATGTGTGGAAAGGATTGCACTTTCAATTTGACAAAGTCACTTTAAAGGGTCCTGGTGTGGCACTGTGGGTTAATGCACCAAACTGCAAAGCCATTTGAACTGAAAGGTCGGCGGTTCAAGCTCACCAGTCACTCCTCAGAAACCCTATACAGGGTCGCTATGGGTCAGAACCAACTTGATGGCACTTCACAACAACAACAATGTACACTTGGATAGTTAATATTTTCAGTTGGGCATAACTATTTTTTAAAAATTTGTCAGTCACTAATGTGCAATGTGTATTTGGTATCTACATACCTACGTAAAAGTTTTTTAAAGTGTAAGTATGTTTCTATAAACTTGAAGAATGTATATTCTGTGTTGCACAAAATGAAAAAAAAAAAAAGGCATTTTGCAAATGGTAGGATCACATGAAGCAAATCTTAGTGTAGGAGTTGTTGTTGTTATTAGGTGCCATCGTGTCAGTTCCAACTCATAGTGACTTTATGAATAATAGAAGGAAACACTAGGTGGTCCTACATCATCCTCACACTCTTAGTTACACTTGAGCCCATTTCTGCTGCCACTGGGCCAATACATCTAGTTGGTGGTCTTTTTCTTTTCAACCATGATGTCCTTCTCCAGGGATTGGTCCCAACTGATAATATGTCTTAAGTATGAGAAGCTATGTCTCGCAATCCTGGCTTCTAATGAGCAATCTGGCTGTACTTCTTCCAACACCAATTTGTTTATTCTTCTGATAGCCCATGGTACTTTCAATATTCTTCTTCAAAACTGTAATTAAATGCATCAATTATTCTATGGTCTTCCTTATTTCTTGAGCAAGTTTCATGTGCGTATGAGGCGATTGAAAATACCATGAGTTGGGTCAGGTACACTTTAGTTTTCACACTGACATCTTTGCTCTTGAACACTTTAAAAAGGTCTTAAGAAGCAGATTTGCCTATCACAATACATTGTTTGATTTCTTGACTGCTACTTCTATGAGTATTGATAGTGGATCTAAGCAAAAGGAAGTCTTTAACAATGCCAATCTTTCCCCCATATATCATGATACTATTTATTGGTCCAGTGATGAAGAGTTTTGTTTTCTTTACAGTGAAGTGCAATCCATACTGAAGGCAGTGATCTTTGATATTCATCAGTATTTTAAGTCCTCTTAGCTTCCAGCAAGCAAGATTTTATCATCTGCATTATCACAGGTTGTTAATGAATCTTCCTCCAATCCTGATGCCACATTCTTCTTCATATTATCCAGTTTCTCAGATTATTTGCTCAGTATGCAGATGGAGTAAGTGTGGTGAGAGAATATAACTCTGGTGTATATTTTTCCTGATTTTAAACCATTCAGTGTCTCCTTGTTCTGTTCCAATAACTGCTTCATGGTCTCCATAAATGTTATTCATGAGTACAATTAAGTGTGCTGGAATACCCATTGCTTACAGTGCTATCCAAAGTTTGTCATAATCCACACAGTGAGAAACCTTTGCATAGTCAATAAAGCATATCTGCTTTTAGCCAAGATCCAACTTAAAGGGCAGCTTCAAACAACAAAGTCAAGCATTAAATTTCATACTTGACTTTGTTGTTTGGAGCTGCCCTTTAAAACGTTTTGTTCAGTTCTTTTACCTCCTCATGTTTTCCATTTACTTTAGCATCTCTACACTGGAGAGCAAGCTTCAGAGCCTCTTCTGACATCCATTTTGGTCTTTTCCTTCTTTCTTGTCTTCCTGTGTGATGCTCTTGATGTCATCCTACAACTCTTCTGATCTTGAGTCATTAGTGTGTAATGTATCAAATCTGTCCTTCAGATGATCTATAAATTCAGGTAGGTTATGTTCAAGGTAATATTTTGGCTCTTGTGGAGTTGTTTAATTTTCTTCAGCTTCAGTCTGAACTTGCATATGAGCAATTCGTGGTCTGTTCCATAGTCTGTTCCTGACCTTGTTTTGGCTGATGATACAAAGTTTTTCCACTGTCTCTTACCAAAGATATAGTCAATTATATTCTGTGTATTCCATCTGGTGAAGTCCATGTGTGTAGTTGGCTTTCATATTGTTTTAGAAAGGTATTTGCAATGAAGAAGTCATTGGTTTGCACAATTCTATCATATGATCTCCAGAATCCTTTCTATCACCAAGGCCATGTATTCTAACTGCTGATCCTTCCTCTTTGTTTCCAACATTTACATTCCAATCACCAGTAATTATCAATGCATCTTGACTGCAAGCTTGATCAATTTAAGACTAAGAATTTGGTAGAATTCTTCAATTTCGTCATCACTAACTTTAGCGTTTGGTGCTTAAATTTGAGTAATAGTGGTATTAACAGGTCTTCTTTGTAGGTATATGGATGTTATCCCATCACAGATGGAGTTATACTTTAAGATAGATCTTGAAATGTTCTATTTGATGATGAATGCAATGCCATTCCTCTTCTATTTGTTGTTTCTGGTATAGTAAACCATGTGATCGCCAAATTAAAAATGCCCAATACCAGTCTATTTTAGCTCACTAATGCCTAGGATATTGATCTTTGTTGTTAGTGTTGTTGTTAAGTGCCATCAAGCCGGTTCTGACTCATAGTGACCCTGTATAGGGTTTCTAAAGAGAAGCTGGTGAGCTTGAACTACCCATCTTGCAGTTCAAACCGACTTTATAGTCCAGTGCCTTAACCCTCAGTATCATATCAAGACTCCAGAATATTGATCTTTATGCATTCCACAACATTTTTGACACATTAAAGCTTTTCTAGATTCATACTTCATACATTCCATGTTCTGATTATAGTGGATGCTTACAGTTATTTCTCCTCATTTTGAGTTGTACTCCATGAGCCAATGAAGGTTCCGAAAACTTTACTCCATCTGTGTCATCATGGTCAACTCTACTTCAATAGGGCAACTTATACCCATTCATATTTTGAGTGCCTTCTAACCTGAGGGGTCCATCTTCCGGCACTATAACTGACAGTATTCTGGTGCTGTTCATCATGTTTTGATATTCAGTATTCTGGAGCTATCTGAAAGTGTTCCATTGCTATTCATAAGATTTTTGGTGGCTAAACATTCAGAAGTAGTCAGCCTCTCCTTCGTCCTTGTCTGTGCTAGTCTGAAAGATCACTTGAAACATGTTCACCATGGTGACCCTGTTGGTATTTAAAATACCAGTGTCATAGCTTCTAGCATCCCAGCAACACACTAGCCAACACAATATGACAAACTGACAGATGAGTTGTGGTACTTTTCATGAGTGTCTTTTATTATCAGTATCTTTATAAATCTGATCAGTGATATTACTTCTTTTGCTAGACATATTGCTGAGGGTGTAGGGAGTGCAGATGTTACTATTATAGAAACTCGAGCAAGTAGACTTGAAACTAACATGCTTCTTATGGTACGAAATGTTGAATAAGATCATGCTGTAGGCCTTGTTTTCAATGAAATCAGCATTTGTGTCATAACAATGAAGTTGGAGTTGTGATGACTGTTATTATATGTCATTAGAGGTGAATATTGCCCAACTTTCTATTCATTACAGGCCTCAACTGACACTGATTACTGACAGATTTCATTAAAGATCAGGCCATAACTATGTGGCCTGCTATACGGCAGTGCAGTTAACAGTACATCATAAAATTGAGTGAACACCTGAGAATGCTAACAAAGTATGCACTGTAACATTATATGTAGCACATATTACTAATGATAAAATGTACAAATGAAATAAAACCCAGAAGGTTGTAAGTGCGGCTTGTTGTAACTTGAACACAGTGTAAGTCAGGGACTAACTATAGTTCTGAAGATATCAGCCACTGAAAATCCTACGGAGCTTAGTTGTATTCTCACCCACATGGGATCACGATGAGTCAGAGTTGGCTGTACTGGTACATTACTTTTAGTACAAAAGAGTGGATCTGATTTATTCTTCCCACCTTCTGGTGTTCTTTTGTAAATATCTTTAAAAAAGAATAACTTGATTTGATGAATTATAAGCACAAATTGTTAGTAAGTGGCAAGCTAACCATTTCAGATTCGTCTTGAAAATGCATTTCTTAATCTCTTTATCTATAAAACAACAGGAACACAGCTCTGCCTGCTTTGCAGAAATGAGCATGGGCAATGCAAGCACAAGTGCCGACATGTCATTATAAACAGAATGAAGAAACCATGTACTTACACAGCAATAGCAGAAGACCAAGGAATATCAGGCCAATGGCGGCAGGTCCCAGCTTCACTGATGATCGCTTTCCGTAAGTGGGCCCAGGGTCTTTGCTTGGATCATAAGTTCCACAGACGTCCCTGTTGTCACACTCACAGACTTCCAGAGTCAAGCTCTCAGGTGTGTTGCACCACCTGTTCTGCCTGTCCCTGACTGTGAGGAAGACTGTGTATACTCCAGGAGATATCTGTTGCTGGGCTCTTAGCAGAGCTGAGGTAGCTATCGATAAACAATCCAGAAATCAGTAGTTGGACAAGGCTGATTTTGTTTTGAAAATGACTTAATTTTTCCATCGCAGCTAGAGTTGCCCTAGAGATCGTTGTCCCCATTGTCCCCTGATAGTAAGATAAGGTTTGAAGCACATTTATATTAGTTATAATGTGCTCGGTTTGGCAAATGTGTTTGCACCAGCCCCCTTGTCCTCATCTTTGTCCAGAAGGGCCCATTATTCTCCCCCATGATGACCTAATTTTCCCTGGTTTTCTGAATGAGATGGGTATCACTTAAATAGCAGCTCCCCTCTCTTGGGGGCATAACCACTGTCTAGTATGTTTGGCCAACCCTGGGCTCTGAGTGTGTGCCTTCTCCCTCCCTCTGTGTTTTCCTGCTTGACTAAGACCAAGCTTCTGCTTTGGCCACTGCTACATCAACTATTCCTGTTCATTCTCATCCCATGAGACTAGGTCTCATTGTGGAAGATTCCATTGTGGCCATGGCTGATCCTCCTCTGACTCTCCATTCTGCATTACTACATTGCCATTTCTAAGCGGAATTCCAGCAACTGCTCCTGTGAGCCCTGTATTGAGTTGCTTGAATCCTTTTTTTTTTTTTTTTACCTCATCATGCCCTTTTGACCTTGAGCATTGCCTGCCCAGTCCCACCAATGTTGCCTTGCCCAGCATCACCCAAGCAATACATTGAGTGTCATGTCCTAATTATTTCTGATATTTCTGTAGCAAGTAAATCCAGTTGCAGCCAAATGGTACATGAATAATGTGGAGCTATATCTTTATACCAGGATCTGTAAGGCTCAAGGGAATAAAGCCAAGTAGAACTAGATACCTTTAATAACTCTGGCAGCTGCTGATCTCTATGAGGTACCATAGACCAAGGTCATGAGAGGAAGTAAGATAGATTCAGAAAAAAGCCATGGGAATGTGTGTTAGTTCACAAAGGACTCAGAGACCTGGCCTGATGGTAACTATAAAATTCAGAACGTTCTTATTAATCCTAATGTTTGTGTCTATTCAATTCCTGGAAAACATAGGACACGTAAAATTAGCAATGATAAAGATGAGGGGAAAAAAAGGATAGATCAGCTTTTTCCCATTCATGAATAGATTTATGAGTTTGAGTCCATCATGCTTTTGAAGTCCTTAACTGATAGAAGACTAACTACCCCTTCCCATGTGTCTCAATCAGTTCAGTTGCCAAGTACAGCATGATTGCTCACAGCCTGTTCAGTTTAGAAACGTTTAGGTATTTAGAAATCTCAACAGCTCTGTAATAAAATACATAGATGACTCATTTATGTTTTGCTGTGTGGTATTAAGAAATAACATCCTAGAGACATGAAAATATTTGAAAAATCAGATATTTACAAAAAAAAGCAGAAAATATTACATGGTGGTAACATATATCATTCCTTTTCTCTTTCATACTGTGAAGAAATTAATAAGATGAGGACCACATGCCCATTGCAAAGAAATTTTCAGTTACCCTTGGAAAGGATCTGCTTCCAGATAAGTTCTCTCTCTTATCCTTCTGGAAAAACAATGAATCAACAACTTTCCTTTGTAAAAGCAAATTTAAAATTACTCACCATTTACTGTTGTGATGCTCCACACAGCTGGCAATTTTAAAGGTTGCTCCTCCAGTGAAAAAGTGTAGGGACCAGTGTATTTATCACTGTTCAGTACTCTAGCTGAGACAACAACCGAAGGTTTTGAACTACAAATTACTTGCTTTTCGAGGACAACTGTTGGACAATTTACATTAAAATCAGGTACTTCAACGTATACAGTGCCAGTAGAAGTCTTTCCAGTGTTTTCTGTAAAGAATAACATTTTAAAGAAATATTAAAAACAAGTTGTAAAAAATAATGAATTCTTAAAATTTGCTTCGTGTAGACAAATTAGTGTGTCTGCTCATAAAAAATTATATTTGCTATTCTCAGAAGTGAGAAAATACCAACCTATTAAAACAGCTGGTAAAAAATAAATTCAAATTAAGCAAATTGGCTAATGTCTCTACTTAGTCACGCTGTATATTTAACATGCTTGACACCACAGCCTGTAAGCTGCTGAATTCACTAACTACAAATGAAACCAGCTCAGACATAATGGCTTTCGTGAATGCGTTGTACACAATGAACCTAGCATGGTGTCAACAATTTTTGCTTCTAAAATTTGAGCCAAATTATTTGGAATAAACCACCATTTGTTCTTGTTATTTAAGGGGTAAAAGTTTATTGTAGAATACAATTTAAAACACTAATAATGGGAAACAAGAGACTAAAAGCTGTTGGTAATGATATCATGAGTCATTTATGTTGTTTCCCTTAGTGCTTTGCGCCGTATTCCTATTCATAATTTTCTATTCATGAAGAAATGCCAGTTGAAGTAACATTTCTCTGAAAATGAATGAAATATGTTTCTTACCATCTATGGCCAGAATCTCAGCTGTGATTGTGTTGTTAACTATGAAAGTAGAATCCCGATCTATATTTTTGATAAATTTTATTTCAGCCGTTTTTGAGTCAACAATAAGCAAGCCACCATTGTTACGTCCCATTAAATATCTGTTTAATAATAAAAAACAGTAATAATTTTTTCAAATACGAAATGGTATGTATTTCTTGAAAGTGGCTCTTTTTAGATTTAATATATGACATTTAAGAAATAGGAAAGTTTCTGCCAGTTTTTTCCTGATCTCTTTAGACAGGCTAAGGCATCTTCTTTTCGTTTTCACTTTAACTTGTATTGTTCTTGCTTACAGCGCAATACCCCCATTCCTCACTTATTGACATAGTTGGGTTCCAAAAACAGGTCATTATTTGAAAATTGGCATTGTGCAAAACCAAGGATAACCACATCAGATCACAGAATGGAGGATGAGTGCATCGTTTCATAATTGGCAAACAAGTGAGAATCATAGCCCAGCCTCGTTGACACAGCCTGAACCATCACAGCGTACTACCCTTGCCTTACACCTTGGCATTCATTACTGCACAACATATGTTATTAATGCACAAAAGAGTTGAATAGTAGATTTTATTTATTTTTTACTGTGGTTGTAAAAGCAAAATGATGGATAATGAGCAAGTCAGTAAGTGACAAGTAGGTAAATATTTTAATGATTTTACTTTATGGTTTTTCTTGGGTTATCCAGTTATTTATCTTGGTCACTTGTTTATCTTATTATTCCTGGCTTATCATAGTTTATGCACAGTAGTGGGCTCAAGTAACAATTGTGAAGATACTGCAGGACCGGGCAGTGTTTCACAGCAATCCTGTATAGGATTTTCAAGGAGTGACTGGTAGGTTTGAACCACCAACCTTATCATTAGCAGTCCAGTGTTGATACTACAGTGCCACATCAGGAGTCCCCATAAAGGAATAATAAGATGTAAAAATTGTCTTACTTGACGGATGAAGCAGCCTTCCCAGTGTCTTCATCAATGGCTTGATACGTTCCCAGGACATAATTGATCAGGTTTTTACTACTTATACCTTTCTGCACAATGAATTTCTTGGAAGCAGGACGGAATATAAGTCCTTCTCTCACATTTACTACCTGAATTGTGACTGGGGTTGACTGCACTCGATACTGAGAGCTTATTGATTGGTGAAATGCAGCTTTGTTTTTGACGGCAATACTAAATTGCACACTTTGCAGTTGTTCGTAATCTAGTGCCTGGAGTAAATATAAAATTAGAAGGACAGAAGTGTCACAAAAATAGGAACCAGCAAAACCAGAAGATGACAAAAGAATTCTATGCTAGATGCTGTTTTATTTCTATGTAATAAGATGACTTTATAAATCACTATAATATTGTGTTAAAGAAAGCTGTAGAATTTCTAATTCACAAGACCTCAGTTTGGTAAATGATGTTTACAAAAAACAATACCTCTTTCTACTAGCAATATAATTTCTATCTCTTTAAACTATGTAGTAGAGTGGGAAACCCCCAAAATTTTGTGGTCATAAATTTAAACCCTAGTTATGCTATTACTAGCTGTGTAATTTAGAGCATTTTACTCAATTTCAATGGTCTGCAAGTTCCAAGTTTTGGAAAAGTAAAAACAATATGAACAAAAAAAAACTTGTCTCCATCAGGTTGTTGGAGGTCCACAATACACAATATATTGTTGTTGAGTTGGTTTTAACTGAAGATAATCCAAGGTGTTACAAAGTGGAACTGCTCATAGTGTTTTCTTCTCTGTGATTTTTATGGCAGTGCATCACCAGGCCTTTGTTATGCAGCACTGCTGTTTGGGTTCAAATTGTCAATCGTAATACATTCCTAAAAATGGCAGCTATGGAGCCTGGGGACTTAGGACCAGAGTCTCAGGAGATATCGTGGTCAATTGGCACAACAGAGTCCACAAAGACAGTGTTCTACATCCTACTTTGGTGAGTAGTGTCTGGGACGTTAAAAACTCATGAGCAGCCATCTAAGGTGCAGTTATTGGTTTTTCCATGTGCAGAAGAAAGAAGACTGTCGAGAATTGAAGATGCTTGAAGTTAATTAACACAATGGATTAATGGGACATATGAACATCAATATCCACGACTCTGAGACGGAGACAAGTGTATTACTGAAAGAAATCGTCTGCCGCCTTCCATTGTTGACTGAGACATGTTTAAACATGTTTTGTTAGGAATAAACCTATGCATATGTGAACTGGAACCCTAGAAACAATACTTTTTGACGTATGCTCATACAGCTATTTGGGAGAGTTAGTCAACTCTTCAGAAAGATTTTCCTTTAAACTAAGTTATGAAGGAAGATGAGGAACCATCCAGGCAGAGGCGAAAGCCCTTGCAAAGACCCAGATTGAATTGACACACCAAAACTCACTGCCATCAAGTTGATTCTGACTTATTGAGATCCTGTATAAGGTTTCCGAGGCTGTAAATCTTTACTGGAAAAGAAATCACTATCTTTTGCTTCAGGAGTGGCTGGTGGGTTTGAACTGCCAACCTTGCGGTCAGCTGTCCAGTGCTTATCCTACACCAGGGAACATTTAATATGATAGGGAATGTTTTAGCTGTAGATGGTGCATGGTTTTATATATTATTCTGAAGATGGTGAAATGCATCTTAAAGGCTGGCAAATAGTTATTAACCCTAGCTGCATGGGAAAGTCATCTAAGGACTAGCTGTTGAAATGTCATCATTCAAGGATAGAACCCAAGTTTCTTGTTTGGAACAATGGATAATATGAATGCAGATTAGGAAGTAATGGGCCCTAATGGGTGCTTATAATAAGACCCTTACAGGTGAAGATGACTGTAACATTTTTAATGAAAAATAGAATAATGAAGAACAGCTTACACAACTCACAGCAATCCCTTTTTTAAAGGAATGTAATAGTTGTCACTGTACTGGACTCAAGGAATTCAAGAAAGAAGCTACCATATAATCCAATGATTTACATCAAAGAATGTCTCCAAAAGATGGCTACTTATTTTAGTCCGTACCATATCCAGGAATGAGCTCTGGTACCATAGTTGTTATGAGTTGAGCTGCTAACTTCAAGGTCAGCACTTCAAAACTCCCAACTGTTCCACGGGGAAGGCTTTCTGCTCCCGTAAAGATTTATAGCCTCAGAACCCCTACAGGGTCGTTATGAGTTGGAACCAACTCTACGGCATCCCCCGCCACACACACCCCAACCCGGCCCCATATCCAGGAAAACACTTTCTTAAGAAATAGTAGATGGGCAGTTTGAATGCAGGCATGTTAAATAGAAGTTTTATTCAATTATTTTTTATCCTGCAGATTTTGTTTATACATTCCCACTTCCTAGGGAAAGACATTCCTCCCACCACCACTACATATAGTCTGTACAATAAGCACTGGACTTTGAACCATACCACGACCACTAATTAATGTCAAATAGACTGGCAATTTCATGAACCATATTTCCCTAAGTTATCTCTTCCTAAACTTCAATCCAATTGTAGAGGGTGAATGAGATTAAGTAAAAACAAAACATATTTTACTTTCTTGGGCTTAAAATATGCATATCTAGAAACACACAAATATTACTAACTAGCTATATGATTTGTATACCTGTGTTTACTATGTTATTGTTAAGTGTCATCAAGCCTGTTCCGACTCCTAGCTACCTTGTATAGGGTTTCTGAGGAGCAGCTGCAGTGCCACAACTGTGTTTATTATAGGTAGTGTGAAAGCCTGAAAGCAAGTAAACCAAGTTTTTAACGAGATTGTCTTTAATTAACGGGGCTATGTTGTTAGTTACCTGGAGTCTGTTTCGATTCATAATGACCCTGTAAAGCCTTTTCTGAGGCTGTAAATCTTTGTGGATTTACATCTTTCTCCCACAGAGCAGTTGGTGGGTGGGCTTGGTCCACCAGCCTTGTGGTTCGAAGTCCAGTGCTTAGTGTACAGAATATCTGTACTCTCAATGCGAGCTATATGGTGATTTTAAAAACCATTCTATTTTACGTGTTTTCTAAGTTTCTTATAATGAATTGGTATCATTATTAATAAATAAATAAAGTTTATTTATAGATTTGGTTAATATAGGTTATTTTTACCATTAAAATGAAGCCAGTTCATACCTTAATCACCTTCAGGATGCCTTCATTAGTTCTGGGGTCAGTTTGTATTTCAAACCAATTCCCATCATTTCCAGAGGTAAAGAAATATTCTGCAAGCCAATTATCTGTGAACTCTTCATCCAAATCTATTACTTGAAATCGAAGTAACTCAGAACTTAATGTGTTTTCCTCAATATGTGCTGAATACTAAAGACGAAAGAAACAAAATTCAAAACTCAATGTTAGAGTTAAGGGATTATGTTTATTACAAATGCTTTTAATAATCATTTCTCAAAGTACATATTGACCAAAAATAAAGAATATCACTTGTGAACACTGTGCTCATTTAGAAAATCATCTATCTGGGACCAAATGGTCAGCAATTACTTTAAAACAAAAACAAGACTGTGACAGGCCAGGGAAACTAGATTAGAAATGGGAAACCCAGAATGGAAATATTCAGAATGCTCATGAATCAGGAAGAAATTTGAAAATCCAAACTACTGTGTATGCCTTCACCAAAAACACAATAATACATTACATT